TGCTGCCGCTGCGCCTGTGCGTGCGCGCCGGCCTCCTGCTGGCCAAGTTCCTCCCGCTGCTGCTGCTCTACCCGCTCACCTACCTGGCTCCCGGCCTGGCCGCGCTCTGGCTCCAGCTGCTCCTGAAAGCCACCGAGACCTCGGGCCCCACGTACATCAAGCTGGGCCAGTGGGCCAGCACCCGGCGCGACCTCTTCTCCGAGGACTTCTGCGCCCGGTTCTCCAAGCTGCACGTGCAGGTGGCGCCCCACCCCTGGGCGCACACCGAGCGCTCGCTGCTCGAGGCCTTTGGGAAGGACTGGGGCCACGTCCTCTGTTTCGAGACCCAGAAACCTGTGGGCTCCGGCTGTGTGGCCCAGGTGTACAAGGCGTTCGCCAGCCCGGCCCTGCTGGGAAAGGCCGGCGGCCGGCGACCCCGCGATGCCGCCGCGGCTCCCGGGCTGCTCACCAGGTGCCGGGAGGCCTTTGGGCAGCTTGGGCATGAGTGGAAGGCTCCGGGAAATCTTGCGGACCAGTCGCTTCTCGAAAAGCTGCTGCTTCCTGACGCTGACGGGGTTGGATCCGAGGTAGCAGGGTCACAGGTGCGCGGCGGCCCGCCCCGGCCCGGCCAGCTCATCCCCGTGGCCGTGAAAGTAAGTGTGCTACTGGCGTCAGCTGGGGGTGCAGGACACCCCCACATCGCCTGACAGCCCACTCCCATGATTCCTTTTCTGACACGCTTGGAACTAGAAATGTGTTCAATATCAAGTGTTTTTAGATTTTGGAATAGTTGCATATACACAGTGAGGTATATTGGGCCCAAGACCTAATACTGATCATGAAATTAATTTCTGCTTCACATCCTGCACATCCTGTGTGTGTGTGTGTTGTTCATGGGGCTTGAACTCGGCCAAAGTGCTGTTCCTGAGCTCTTTTGCTCAAGGCTAGTGCTCTACCATTTTGAGCCATGGCTCCACTTCTAGTTTTCTGGTGGTTATTTGGAGTTAAGAGTCTTACCCACTTACCTCTCCTGGCTGGCATTGAACCACAATCTTCAACTCTCAGCCTCCCAAGTTGTTAGGATTACAGGTGTGAGCCACCGATGTCTCACTCATATGCTTCTTTAATAGAGTCTAAAGGTAATTTTTGCAACCATTTTAGTGAACTTTCAGTTTGACTTCACATCGTTGAATAGTATCTCGTTTGTAGTGTGAAGTCAGTCCTGAAACACTTTCAAAACTGCCTGGTGCTAGACGCCTGTAATCCTAGCTATTCAGGAGGTTGAGATCTGAGGATCGTGGTTCAAAGCCAGCCTGTGCATGAAAGTCCGTGAGACTGTTATCTCCAATTAACCACCAGAAAACAGGAAGTGGTGCTGTGGCTCAAGTGGTAGAGTGCTCCTCTTGCGCTGACGAGCTGAGGGACAGCACCCAGGCCCAGAGTTCAAACCCCACAACTGACAAAAAAGAAACACAAAAAAACAAACAGCTCTCAGAACTTAGAACCTGTCGGTTTCAGAGTTTCTGTTAGTGTAGTATTTGAGTGCCTGTTGCCTGCAGGCAGATTTCCTTTTTTTGCGGGGGTGGGAAGATGCCATAGGCTGCTGGGAGCTTGAATTTAGGGCATCCAGCTGTCACCTGGTTTTGTTTCATTCATGGCTTTATTTTTTTTATCCCCCCTGGTGAATTGGGAATAGAATTTCTCCAATTAAAGAGACTCTCTTGGATTTGTCTGCCTGGGCTGGCTTTGACCCTGGATCCTCAGATCACAGCCTCCTGTGCAGCTACGATTGTAGCTCTGAGCCTCTGATGCCCAGCTGTTTTATTTCCCATCTTTAGGAGAGGCCGTGTGAGTGGCCTGCTGCAGGGTTTGGAGGACCACCACCAGGAACTTCCTGGGTACCGGGTGCTTCCCTTTGTTCTCAGAAGTTTACGTGGCTCCTTTGAAGGCCCCACACAGCACTGGCTAGGGCCATTGTGTCGTCCAGATTTCCTCCTTGTGTCTCATGATTCCTCTTTGTGGCAGGTGCTGCACCCTGGCCTGCTCTCTCAGGTGCAGATGGACTTGCTGCTGATGAAGATTGGCAGCCGAGTCCTTGGGCTTTTGCCAGGCATCAAATGGCTTAGCTTGCCTGAAGTTGTGGACGAGTTTGAGAAGCTCATGGTCCAACAGGTGACGTCTTCCTTCAGCTACAAATAGCACCTAATGTCATTCTTGCTATTGACAGTGCTAGTAACTGAGGAATGGAGAGTAGGACGCATTAGTTAGGATGGGTAATGCTAGCTGGTAAAACAAATAATGTCTAAGTCTCAGCAGGCTGTTCCTTACTGACATTGAGGATATCTTGAGAGAGGAAAGGCTGTGCTCCACACTGATTTAGGGACCCAGTTTTCTTCCAGGTGTGGAACTGCCATCTTCAACAGTATGGCAGTGTGGAGAGACCATGAAGGATCATGTAAGAAATCTTTTTTGTGTTTTGGTACCAGTGCTGGGGCTTGAACTCAGGACGTGGGTGCTGACCTTTAGATTTTTTTTGATCAAGGATGGCTTGAGCACAAAAGGATGGCTTAACCAGCTTTCTTTTTTTTTTTTTTTTCAGTCAGTCACGGGGCCTGAAGTCTGGGTCTGGGTGCTGTCTCTCAGCTCTTCAGCTCAAGGCTAGCGCTCTACCACTTGATCCACAGAGCCACTTACGGCTTTTTTCTGCTATGTGGTGCTGAGGAATCGAACCCAGGGCCTCATGCATGCAAGGCAAACACTCTACCACTGAGCCACCTTCCCAGCCCTTAACCAGCTCTTTGCTGGTTAATTTGGAGCTAAGAATCTCATGGACTTTCCTGCTGGCTTCAAATCTTGATCCTCAGATCTCAGCCTCCCAAATAGCTAGGATTACAGGCATGTGACATTGGTGCCTGGCTCAAGTAGAGACTTGAAGTGGGGTCATCTCCTCTTCCCAGTCTTCTAACCAGGGTTTTCATACTATGGTTTTCATACTGTGGGCTGAGTGGACTGTGAGGGCATTTAGGAACACCTTCTTCCTTTGTGCCTGGGAGAAAATGAATGGGATGGGGCATCAGTTTTCATTCTGACACGTCACCCACTGACCACCAGGGGAAGGAGCAATTAATTTTGTTTTGCTTTGTTTCCATAGTGATTGATAAGGGACTCTTCCCTGTTTGGGATGTTTGGGCATTGGTGTATGTAGCCAGACCTGTGTGTAAACATACCTTGGGGGTGATCAGGCTCCTGTGGGCATGTGTACTACCTCCTTGCCAGAGAGTGCAGCAGTGGGCAGGTTTGCAGAAGCTGGGTGCCAGCTCCTCTCTCTATCCGCTGATTGAAGGAGTTAAGTCTCCAGGATTTGTGTTTGTGTTTCGAAAGTGCTTTAGTCTGTGCAGGCTGCTTGTAACAAAATATTATAGACCAGGGAGCTTAGAAGCTACAGTAATTTATCGTTTACAGCCCTGGAGACTTAAGTCCAAGAGCAAGGCGCTGGCAGATTTAGGGACTTAAGTCTCCAGGGCTGTAAAGGATAAATTACGGTAGCTTCTAAGCTCCAGAACCTTCACACTGCCTGCGCCTGCTGGAAACAACAAGGGTCTCTCAGGCTTTTTTTTTTTTTTTTTGGGTCTGCTCGTGGGGCCTGAACTCTGGGCCTGGGC